AGAGGATCATCGCCAGACAGCATTGTAGCGCCACCAGCAACAGGAAGCGGCACAGCATTACAAGCGCTGTCCTCCAGCCAGCGTCCTCTGTTAGAGGTGGCGTCAGGTGACAGTCAACGCACCAGCCCTAAACCCTCAGCGGGAGTGGTCGGCCGTCCTGATTCCTTCGTTCGAGGGACCGAAGCAGCGGCGGCGGGGGAAGCATCTCCATTGTCGAGCAGTCCCAGCCCGGCGGTACGGTATAGCCAGACCTCGTCAGGGCACTGTTTCACGGCACTGCGCTGCGCGCGCTGCGGTTTATTGGGTTTCCATGAAAGCATCAACAAACTCGGACGCTCGCAACGCTGAAGAGGCAAGCCGAACCAGTCTCAAATGCCGCACTAATACAGCAGCGCAGCGCAGCGCACTGCAGCGTCAGGCCGTGGAACACCGCCCAGGTAGCCGCGCCTGGCTGCCGGGCGGCGCCCGGCGGTGCTCGGCGCTGCCCGGCGGCTGTCAGCCCCAGCTCGACCGGACGGCCGTCGACAGGCGCACCGAAGGCCGGCAGCGCGGTGCGGTCGCTCCACAACGCCCGTGTACCGCCCGGGGCAGAGCTGGCCCCGCTGCCAGAGCTACTGACTTGGTAACAACTAAGGAGGGAGTTTGCAGACATTGGAATGGTAACAATGGTGAGATGGAGGTAATATTCGGTACTGACCCAGTAACCAGCTAGACATTGTCCCGGCATTTTTTAAATAGAGATAGCATAGTGGAGCACCATTGAGGCCTGGCTCGTGGTTATGTAAGTCGCTATCTTCAAATGAGACTAACCCAAGTAACTATGCAGTTTGACCTCGAGTCGCTATGGAAGGCCCCAACTAGTGCTTCCTCAGCCCTGAGCCATCCCCCGATAGCCACCTTCTTTACATGTTCATCAATTCATTCCAGCTCTACCGAGCTCACCTCATTCTGAATCCTCTCGAGTGTGCCCGGTCCCCGCCACTCGACGTGTGACAGTTTGAGGCCACACAGATAGGCAGCGACCGGTGTGTGCCAGACGGAACCAATGTAAATTAGCACAAATAGTCCTGTTTACCGCGGGCACAAAAACTGCAGGCATCCCTGACATGCGCGCTGGTAGCGAGTATTTATAAACAGGTTGTAGAAACGATAAACGAAAAAAGTTTGTGCATGCAACAAATTGCGTAGGGTAAATAATATAATGACGTGACAAGACGTGCCTACATTTTTACTGAGTTTCACCTTGGGAGTGTTTCACTTAACTGACCTCTGAAAGTGTTACAATGACTGGGACGGCGATGTCTTGTGACTTGTGATGAAGAAAGCGTGCTTGCATGAAAAGTGTCGTCTTGTGTATTACTTCATAATTTCACTGCGTGCTAAAACAGGTTCTGATTAACGATCAAATATCTGTGTCGGAAACAGGCAACAACAGAATCCCTGTATTTTCCTAGTATTTTCAACACGGTACCTGACGTCTTCCAGCGCAGCACGAGCACTAAAAGACGTCACATGCCATCGCGGCGGGAGATTGGTGTAGTGCGGCACAGCATGCCCGCAGTGTGCAGGCGTTACACAGCTGCAGCCATCTGTTGACAACTATAGGAACCACGCCGCTCGGTGCGGCCCAGCGTTGTGACGACCCGCTTATGGGCGTTATCATTTGTGCCGCGGTGTATCTTTCATGGCCACCTTCCGCAGACCGTCCACATCTTCTTGCGCGCAATACCAGCCGAAGAGAGCCAACAGCGTCCGCCATCTAGGAAATACAATGCCGAAATACTTCCCATGGTTACACGAAGAACTTGGCACAAGCTCTTTCTTGACGATGAAAACCGGCGCTCTGAATTCGAACCCGTCCGAACCATAATTACCGACCGTCCTGGAACAAAACCAGTCCGAGACTGCTCGAACGCTGCGCGCCCGTACAATGAACCTGCCTATAGGAACAACAAGCCGGTGTCGGGAGCACACAGGGCCCGCATTAAGCCGCCGTTTTAGCACACAGCGCATCTGTATAAGGCGCTGGAAAGACGCCAAGCAGCTGCAAACATGTCTGACACGCTTCGGAAGGCAAAGATCAGTCGAGCCATTAGTCCTATTCGTTAGCCGTTTAGATTATCTCCAAGGAAATAAATGAAGATCAGTTGGACTTTCAATTTAGGCAGTATAGCTCACCCTAGACCTGGTTAAAGCGAAACGAGCAGTTTCTATCCCGATCCGCATACACCGGGCCGGGGTGATGGTGTGCTCAATGTGACCTACACCTGCCACTCGCTGGGAGTAACTGGTGCCGTAAACAAGCTGAGAGGGACGGCAAACTTAACACAGATAGTTTACTGATGGACAAACGGTGGAAATATTTACCTACCAGACAGTCGGCTTAGCATGAGACGGGTAAATGGGTGCCAAACAGACCAGCAAACAGTCGTGGGGCAGCCCATGGCCGAGACTCAGGTCACGTCGCACCAGATCACTAGTCGATGTGCAACTTGGAAAATGACGCTGACAGGACATGTCCTGTCAGCCGGCGTTGGAAAAAAATCAACTGATTTTCGCAGTACAATGGAACAAGTAAAAAAAAAAAAATAGATAGTGTTCGTTTTGTATCGATCGGTGCTTAAATTAGCTGAAAATGTTGTTCTTCTTAAAATCCTTAGAAAATATAATAGCAAAAAATTACATCCATGTATGTAGCATTCGTGTATGATTTTGCTGCTCCCATAATAGTCGTTTCGGGTCAGAGCTTTCACAATTTATTTGTATGAAGTGCAATACATAATAGCAAGCGTTTCACTCACTCCACATAAACAATGACATTCAACAACGAATGGAGGCGTCTAGCCCCATCTATTGGTGTCGTGGCAATGTGGCAATGTGGCGTGGGCCGTGGCGGCTGAAAACCACGCGCCTGAGCAATCACTCCATCTCAAAACCTATCGGCAGCTAAATGAATTGCGGTCGATTGCACCCTATGCACAATCGTGCACCGCGTGCAGATGCACAGTTTGCACCCGCTGAGTCAAACAGTAGCCGCAACGGGAGTATTTCGTTCACATACCCGGTCCAGAGCGCAGACCGGGTTTACTTTGGCACACACAGTGGGGTGCGGGTCAGACGAATGTCCCGACCGATCACGGCTGTTGAAACGACCCACAGACCACACCGCTCAGCGGACAGCTCCTGAACCCTTCTCGGACATTCCACAGCTCAGCGCGTCTAGGTCCTGAAATAGCCACCGTTTCATCGGACATTCCACGGGTCATCACGGCTAGCTTGAATTCACCGAAGTTTTATCAGACCTTCCAACATTAACCATTACATGGATCTTCGCCATCCGAGCAGAGCTGCTCTCAGGGACGCCGCAGCCCTCAGACTGACTGCTGAGAGACTTGTCAAGCCGTCCTCTGTTTTCTCTCCCACTGTAGCTGTCACCGACCGAGGATCACCGGTGTTTACCTGTCCATTAGCGGTGACATGCGGTGACAGTTGGTCGCACATCGGTAACGTATATGCCTACATGGGTGTCTCTTTCTCCCTTCGCCTTCTGCTTTGTCGAGCTTCTCCAGTACACCTTTCAGCGCATACCGCCGCCTCTGAGCTATGGCGTAATGCGCTGTTCGCGGCTATGTGTATCTCCCACCGCCAGAGGAAGGCGGCCGTCAGTGGCTGGCCGGCGGCGGGTCGTATTTTGGGCAGCGACGGGGAGCGGACGCTTCCGCGGTACTGGACGCAGCCAAACATAACAGGTGCCGATACAACGGAGCCCGGTCCGGGAATAAATACTGCCCGCGGCCGCGCCGGGGGTCAGAGGTCGTCAGCAGCGGTGGCCTCTGGGCAGCCGCCGGCCGCGGCCGGGCCGGTCACAGCCAGGGAGGACGGTGGGAGCTCGGGGGAAGGCAACTAACACACAGTCGGGTGTTATGGATAGTGAGGCAGGCATCCGTCGTGTTTACACTCGGTACTCGAGTGCGGCGCAGTAACGCATCCTGCCAGGAACTGTCCGAGGAAGTTGCCAAGATGGCTGAAAGGAATGTTAGGCACGGTGATTCAGCGCCATGGCTCCGGAATTTTACCCTCACGCAGCGGCGCCGTGCCATGGTGTGGGCACTGACGATTAACAAATTGGGAAGTCATAATTAACGATCAGTGTCACCGTCTGGGACGTTGGACAGTTATTCAAAAATATATTTGGACGCGACACACCGTAGTCCACTTAGTCCGAAGAATGGACGAGATTTTCAATGCGAAGGGAAAATAAGAGGTGATGAAACAATGTGCAGACTTCCTAACAACGGATGTGACGCGGTTATCGGCAAGTGTATAGCGGGCGGCATTTTTAAAGGGCATATTTCATAGGTTTCATAATCATGTGAACTTATCACAAATAAAACTTTATTGTGTGAAAAGGGATACGAATATGTGTCAAAAAAAAACTTCCTGCACTGGGTTTCAAATAGAACGTTTTGTCCGTTGGTCAACTCAGTACCTACCTACTGAGTTACGTCGAATACCTTCCATGACCTTCACATGACATGATGCCATCAGCCGAGCTGTTTTATCGGAAATATTGAATTGAACATCGACAGGCTGCTCCTGAAGCGCTCGTTTATTTTCGATTTCATGGAAACCACAAAACTGTCGTTATTGGCATTATTCCAGTCGATTAGCACGTTGTCAAATAACTTAACCGTCATAATAAAAACGTTAGTAAATCAATCCTGATCTCCAGGACAAGACAACAAACAGCATCTTGGACTCAGGAAACTGAATATTTGTCATGCGATTTACTCGAGAAAGGCCAATTCGCCGCATATTAAGCATTGGATCATACCTACACTAACACAAGAAAGAAAAAAGAAAGACTTTAAAATGGCATCAATCACAATATAGAGTTACGATTAGGCACAAAGCAGGACATTGACTACTCCGCTCTTTCCGGTGCTACGAGCCTGATCGGTTACTTATGTGACAGCAACCCAGTTCGGGTCGGTACTCACCGTGAATGTGTACAGTCCGTCTGGAATGGTCTCCCCACCAAACTTAATATTAAGCACATATTCTCCGGGCTTGTCCACCCGAAAGTACACCTTGTAGGTGCCGTCTCTGTTGTCCTCGACATCCACATCGGCACAGCTGAAACCCCAGACACAGACCCAGTCAGACGCGTTCTGTCATAACAGGCATAAAGAGGTGCGCCCAGAGTAGAACCACAGCAAGACCTTGCAGTCACAGCCAAACGGCAGGTCATGAACCCTAATGGGGTTCGAGGCACCTAATGAGGATTGCATCAGGAGCACCACGTGCCCCATCGAACCGGGAGCCAAACAAAATCGGCACATCATTTTCGCACGATTTATAAATGAGCAGAGGTTAGACGGCGGCAATTAAGTAGCGCTGATATTTGTTTTGGCCGGCATTTCGCCAATGATCGCTAATACATCAAACAGAAAACGACATTTCGACTATTTGTTGCTATCAATCTCGATCAGATGTCGTGAGTCACAATCACATTTCCGGAGTTTAATGTCATTTGATCACTAGGTTATCTTTGGTTATCTTTATTATCAAGAATCACATGTAGAAACATCAGTCTGAGGTAATTTCCGGACCGGAAGTGCGTCGTTTCCGGTGGACTGACCTGGATCCGGATGCGGAGCGGACCCGGCACGTGATGTTTCCGGTTCCGGCGCGTTTGGCGTCGACGGTGATACACTGCTCCTCTCCGACGCTGATCACCTGGTCCCGGAGGTCGCCCTGCTCCACCCGGCACCGGTCCGCCTGACCAGGGGGAGGGGAAGGGAGGGAGTTAAGTCACTGGCAAATTACCTCGAAAGTCTAATATCTACTATCTTATTCACTAGACTTAGGGACAAACAAGGCCCTAAAACATAGGGACAAATAACAAACATCGCAATGCTAAACATAGAGCAGCCATTTTGTTACGACTGACATTACGAAGTTGAAAGGAAACTCAATCGAATGTATTTGTTTCAGGTACAGCTTTGGCTTGGTGCAAGATGATCGCAAAGAATGGTAATAACCATAGACAACAAGAAAATTACGTTTTCTATACAAAAAAAAAAACGAGCCCCTTTAGAGGTTGGACATAAGAGTGTCATTTTCTAGCGCTACGGGTCTCGATACGTAATTGCTATCCCATCCTTTTCTGACTGACACCACCCTCCCCTAACCCACCTGTCCACTGGGCACGACCTGGACGGGCACGGCGGCGGTGGCCACCGGCCGGCCGCCGTACCGGACGGTCACCCGGTACTGGCCGCAGTCATCCGGCGTGTACCAGCCCGTGAACGTGCCGTCCTCGTTATCAATGATCTCCACCGTGCGCGGCTGCTGGTCCGGACCCTGCGCGAAGAGGGATGAGTGCATATGTAAAACACAATTAAAAAAGGCGACAAACCGCTGCAGTATTAAGCCAGTAAACTGAGGACTTATGGAGCCTGCAGCAGCGTACCATTACAAAATATAAATCCTTCTAAATGCTTTATCCATCTTGCTGGTTGTTATCTTACTGCTGGCGATTAGAATGAGTCGCTGTAACACCCAGCTATTACTCTGAGCTCTTTCTGGTTCTTCCAGGACAGACCTATGATCTTAGGACAGCTCGGTTGCCCTCACTGACCATGTCTGGTTGTTGGACTACACTCACCATGACCTGTGCCTCGAGGTCGCCGAAGCCGGCCTGCCTGGTGTCTATGGTGAACTGGGTGGGCAGGGAGGCGGGCAGGCCGCGGCCGGATACTCCCGGCCCGGAAAGACGTACCCGAAACGGCTCGCAGGTCGGCCGCACCGGCAGACGCCACGGACTGGCGGTAGAGGGTGCAGGGTTAGAAGCTGACGTCACGGACTGACAGCGAGAGGGTGGGATAAGAGACTAATGCCACGGACTGACGGTGAGAGAGTGAGAATGAGGTGAGATACAGACGCCGCGGACTGACGGTGAAAGGGTGGGGTAAGAGACACAGTCGCCGAGGACTGACGATGGGGTTATACACAGACATTATTCGAGACTGAGACCAATTGCGACAGACTAAACAATGAGCTGACTGACACCACGGATATCTGACAAGTGTCTATCTCACCTGCCAGGGATGTCAACTCCACCCCAGGTGACTCGCGGGATGCAGATGCTGCCCTCTGGCGGCGGCTCGTACGTCACCTCATACGTGCCGTCCCGGTTATCCTTAACCGACGGCCGGCGGGGCAGAGGACCTGAAATACGGCAGAGCTGATAAGCTGAGAGGCTCATAGGTGGCCGAGATTGTCAGCTTCGATTTTTTTAGGCATGTAAAGTCAACCATATTCCTGATAAAAGTCAGATGTTCGGACTTCGGGATCTATGGCTGTGAATATGTAAAGACTTTCTAGTCTTCAAACAAATCAGTTTCAACAGTCTGCCTTGTAATTTATCAAATAGCTTCAAACCAGGCCGTGACAGTCAGGGTTTGACTGCAATTCCTTTCCTGCTGTAGAGTACCCATGGCAGAGGCGGACCATAGTCCCGCGGCCTCGTTAGCCCCTCACCCCTGTCGCTGCGCACGTCGACACGTAGCTCAGCCGGCGCCGACCGCGTGGCGTCCACGGTGAACGACATGGGTACGTTGGCGCGGCAGCTGTCGGCGGTCACGCCCGGGCCGTGCGCGATGACGGCGCCGGCGTCCACCTCACACGCCACCGGTACCTAGAGAGGTCAGAGGTCACACACGGGGTCAAGGTCATGATGCATAAGGCAAAGGTCATCGGCACCTGCGGGTCTCCCGTAGGAATGCCATCGGCACATGGGTCATCAAGTCAATTCAATTGCTTACTAATTCATTAAAAGGATATCGTCATCTCCTGAACTCATCTTAAATATCAACAACAAATTAAATTTAAGACACACAATACACAAGGATCACGATATTTCACACAAGTGACACAGCTGAACAAAACAATAACGCAACCAACTGCGATTTGCCAAACCTTGAACGGAGATCCAGGAATGTGTTGGTCGGCGAACTTGATGTTGACATCGTACTCTCCGGGCTCGGTGGGGATGTACTGGACCAGGCACGAGCCGTCCAGGTTATCCACACAGGACATCTTAGCCTCGGAGGGGCCCTCGATGGCCAGACCCAGACCGCCGGTGCCCGCTCCTGAGGACGGAGAAAGCAGTAAGCTAAATACATGGAGTAAGCTAAGCGAAGTGCAAGGATGTTTGGTATTTGCCACGTTCCGGAGCAGACGCTACCCTTGTCAGCAAGCAGATAGCTGTTTTTGTTTTGTTGTACTTAATAGCTGTGCCCTTGCTCACCTCTGGTGTTGACGGTGAACGAGTTGGGTTTGTTGACGGTCGCCGCTCGCAGGCCCGGCCCCGTGGCAGTCACCCGGCTGGGCTCGCAGCCTCGCCGAACGTGCACAAAGAACGGCGAGCCCGGCACCTGGACACCGTTATAGGCAATCTCGATCTCATGACGACCTGGGAAAGCACAGCGGGTAGATAAGATCATACATATTGACGTAGTTACGTCTAGGGAAGACGACGAATTAACAAGGAGCATTGTTAATTCGTCGTTAATTCGTTAATTATTGCAATTGCAACGAATTATTGCATTTGCAATAAACTGAGCAAACTAAAACGAGTAAGAGTTGAACGGAAAATAATGATTTTTATCAGAAATAGACGAAATCAAGCAGCATTCAAGTCTAACTAAGCCCATCGCAGGTTATCGCTCCGCTCTTAATACTCCTGAGCCGTCCGTCATGTGCGCCACTGACCCTCCTCGAACGGCGTGTAGGAGATCTGGAACGTTCCATCCCGGCCCGACTCCACATACGAGGGCGTCGTGTCGCCCGAGGGGTTGGTGATGAGGCAGGTGACCCGTCCCTCCTCACAGCCGGCCACGCTGCGCGCGTCCAGCGTGACGTCAGCCGGCGAGTCGACGAAGACACCTGGCGGAGGCCGGAGGAAGCAGCGCACCGTCAGTCTGCGAATCCGTATCAAAAAGAATGAGCTCGGTCGCAGAATATGCGGGGGACGTTGTATCGATCGATATAACATTTAACGGCATTCCGAAAATTAAAATGGCTTTATCGAATCATCCGAACTATAATGGTACGTGGGGAGGGACTGGATCAAGCTCCAAGTGATGCACTTTTTTCAACGACGTGATAAAAAACCGAATATCAGTCACCATCACACACATGCAGAGCTATTGGCTACCTAGTTGGTGAGAAACCAACATGAAAATAAATCATGGAATGAGAAAGAAATCAATAAAACAGTAAGAGGTGCATAACCGTCTACCGACCAAACGCAAGCATCGATAAAATGTGATAAGACAACGAAAATAAAGACAGTTATCACATTTCTGAACATGCACTTGGAATCGCTTACTTTAGAATCAGTGATAAAAATAAGGTTACATCACAGCAAACAGCTGATTAACAGCAGCTAGCACCAATGTCAAAGCAGACTTATGTAAACCGACAAAACTGCAAAATCCTTGGTGGGTAAAAATATATATCCACAGCAGCCAATTTCACCGCAAACTCCACACCAAACACGAAATAAAATACCAGTAAAACGCCTTTTGGGCGAAGAACGAGCGAGCGAGATAGTGAGCCCTGCACGTGCGGAAAGGCGAGAGGGTACTTTCAACGGGCTTGTGCAAAGCACCCTTCTAACCGGTCGCTAGCGGTGTGCTAAATTTGAACGCAATCGGCCCAGCCGTTCCTGAGATCTGGAAGCGGCATTCTGCACGTGCGCACGTGCAAACGGGGTCCAAACTGACTTTTGCACGGCACCCTACTAACTGATCCCCAACCGTGTACCAAATTTGAGCGCAATCGGCCCAGCCGTTCTCGAGATCTGGGAGCGCCCCCTGCACGTGCGCACGTGCAGTAGCACCCTAACCGCAACACATGGGAATGCATTGCCTGGTGGGTGCCTACCTGTATGCCAAGTTTCAGCGAAATCGCCCCAGTAATTACCGAGTTATTGAAATGGGAACAAATTTGGCACCTCTTATTGTTGTATTTTGCACGTGCACTGGGGGTCACTCACATAGATCAAGAGTATCCGACCTTTGGTAGAAGGGATGCAGCTACCCTACAAAAATTACTGCAAGACAATCGCCCAAGCGGCTGCTGAGATATGAGCCTCTCAAAATCACTACTTTTGCAAAACAGCTTGAACACCCTTGACTTTTCACGTGGCACGTGCGACGACGGTCACTGAGATGTATCAAAAGTAGTCAATTACGGGGTAGAAGGGATGGGGCTACCCAGCAAAAAAGACCGCAGGCCAATCGGTCCAGCGGTTGCTGAGATATAAGCCTCTCAAAAGCGTTACAGGCCGGGCCGGGCCGGGCCGGGCCGCTCATACTGAGATTTTTCCGTTATATTGAAAAGACTCACTTCGCTCGCTGCGCTCGCTCGCTCGTAATAACTCGCATGCAGGTGGTGATGCAGGCAGTGCAGCCACACGTCACACAGCTGCGCCGATAAGGTGAAATGGCTCCAAAGCCGATCCTCATGCCCCCGGCGGCATTTCCGAGCTACCGTATGGATGGACTCCGTATCCCGTGGTTCGCACGTCCTCCAGGCCACGGCCGGCGCGCTGGCGTCGCCCGTCCGATCGCGCCGCGCCGCTCCGCGCGTCGTGGCCGTGCTGGGCGTGCACGTTCCTCTCGGCGTGGCGGGCGTGCTCGGCGTGCCCACGGGCGTGCTTGGCGTGCTCTCGGACGTGCTCGGCGTGCTCTCGGACGTGCTCGGCGTGCTCTCGGACGTGCTCTCGGACCGGCGCCGGCGAGGCGTGCTCCGGATGGACGGTGGCGCGGAACGGCGAGCCGGGCACGTGTTCGTCGTTGAAGCAGACGTTGACTAGGTAGAGACCGGGAGCGGTTGGGAGGTAGGCCACGTCACAGGTACCGTCGCCGTTGTCTCGACAGTTGATGGCCGCCTCGCAGGGTCCCTCGACGGTGACACCGAGGCCGCCCTGCCCGGCGCCGCGGGTGTCGATGACGAACCTCTGTGGCTGTCGGACGCCGCCTCCCGTCAGGCCGGGTCCGTGCACTCGCACACCGCGCGCCGCCGCCGGTACACAGGCCACCCGGCGACCGGTGAGCTCTGCACCGGCCAGCCGAACTCCCAGCCAGTACAGGCCGAGCTCCAGAGGCACAAAGTCGACCAGAAGACCCGCCGGTGTGGGTCGGATGTTGGCGCGAGTGCGTACACCGGAAGGTGAGGTGACGGTGACGGCCAGATCGGCAGGGCTGAGACCGGCCGGCGTCCGAACCACGAACTGCTGGCGGCTCATCAGCGGCACCGCTGGCAGCCGAAAGGGACACGGACGGACGCACGGCGCAGCTCGTCAGGGTGTGGGAAGACACGGGAAGCGAGAGGGGCATGACAGAATGCCATGGAATATGGAAGCCAGCTTTTCGAACAGTTACCTCACACAATTACACATGAATGAGTGAATGCTAATATTAAAGACATTTTCAAATTTCCACCATCAAACGTTTTATCAATATCCGACACTCACCCTTGCCCTTGACTGACCTTAACTATCACCTAAAGTCTACATCAACCAAGCCCTCCATTCCTCATCTCTACCAAGACCCGTTTGCTGGTTTCGAGTCCATCGCCTTTCCTTCACCTCACCCACCCCACCACCCGTTCCACTCACTGGGTTCGAGTCCCTCGACTCTGATCTGGGACACGTTCACTCCGGGCTGAACAGTGACGCGGACAGGGCTCTGCGGCACCGGCCTCCCGCCAAACTGGGCGTGCAGGGTGTACGTGCCCTGGCGCGGGTACGTCAGCTCCCCACGCAGCGTACCGTCGCCGTGGTCGGTGATCCGTACCGGTACCTCGGTACCGCTGCGGTCCTCTCGCATCACCGCCTGCAGTTCGCCTGGGTGGGAGGGAGGATTGGCGTTAAAGAAGGCGTCACAGGTCAGAGCCAACGGTAACTAGAGGAACGGGAGGTTAACGGTGACATATGACCTGTCCAGAGATACCTGAGGGCGACTACAGAGGAATCGGTAATATGTTCTTACAAGTCATATTCAAGTACAGCGTTCATCATGATGTGTTTAGATGAGAAGTTTATCCAAGAGGCGCTTGGCTGACGAATGAAAAACGTTGGTATTCGGTCGTCTCAACGATTTGATTCTGCCGAGGTGTAATGCAAATAGTTAATAAAGCTACTGAGTCTGGCGTTAGGCTTTTACTCAGATCCTGCTAAACTATCAGCTCAGGCTGGATCTCACCCCATTCCCTTCTCTCCCACCCCGCACCTTGTCCGGCGCCGTGGGCGTCTACGTTGAAATGTGTGGGCAGCTGGGCCTTGACTCCGGGCTCCAGGGCCGGTCCGAACAGCCGGACCATGCTGGCGTCCAGCCGGTCGGCGGCCTGAACTCGGAACGGAGAGCCGGGCACCGCCACACCAGAGTATTCTACCTGGTGGAGAGGAGACTGTGAGAGCCGGGCACCGCCACACCAGAGTATTCTACCTGGTGGAGAGGAGACTGTGAGAGCCGGGCACCGCCACACCAGAATATTCTACCTGGTGGAGAGGAGACTGTGAGAGCCGGGCACCGCCACGCCAGAGTATTCTACCTGGTGGAGAGGAGACTGTGAGAGCCGGGCACCGCCACACCAGAGTACTCTACCTGGTGGAGAGGAGACTGTGAGAGCCGGGCACCGCCACACCAGAGTATTCTACCTGGTGGAGAGGAGACTGTGAGAGCCGGGCACCGCCACACCAGAGTATTCTACCTGGTGGAGAGGAGACTGTGAGAGCCCGGCACCGCCACGCCAGAATATTCTACCTGGTGGAGAGGAGACTGTGAGAGCCGGGCACCGCCACGCCAGAATATTCTACCTGGTGGAGAGGAGACTGTGAGACTTGTGAGAGCCGGGCACCGCTACACCAGATTCCCAGAGTATTCTACCTGGTGGAGAGGAGACTGTGAGAGCCGGGCACCGCCACACCAGAATATTCTACCTGGTGGAGAGGAGACTGTGAGAGCCGGGCACCGCCACGCCAGAGTATTCTACCTGGTGGAGAGGAGACTGTGAGAGCCGGGCACCGCCACACCAGAGTATTCTACCTGGTGGAGAGGAGACTGTGAGAGCCGGGCACCGCCACGCCAGAATATTCTACCTGGTGGAGAGGAGACTGTGAGAGCCGGGCACCGCCACGCCAGAATATTCTACCTGGTGGAGAGGAGACTGTGAGACTTGTGAGAGCCGGGCACCGCTACACCAGATTCCCAGAGTATTCTACCTGGTGGAGAGGAGACTGTGAGAGCCGGGCACCGCCACACCAGAGTACTCTACCTGGTGGTAAGGGGTGAGCGACAAAGAAAACGTTATGGGACGTTATGGTTCCATGTGAGTCTCTCCAGTTAACAGAGTTCCTATGCATATGAGAAACGGTCATCCATCTGGGCCATTACAAGAGACAGTCCGCACAAATTAGTTCCCAAAGTTCATTACCCTGCTCCGCTAGTGAGTCATGGACCAAAGAACTTCCATGACGGCCAATTCCATCCGAACTATCCGGCTGCCTTTACCTGCTACTGTCTTTTTAGTAGACCGAGAAAGCGTTGAGTACCAAACGGTCAAGTAAAATCCAGTAATCGTCCATCCTCAAGCAGCCCAGAGTATGGATGTGCGCGATTTTTCAATTCAACGACAGCAGTATGTACCCACTAATGGCTAAGTCTTCCGACTATTCATACGCATACACCGAGTCGATAAACAAATAGGTTGTTTAATGTAGCCACATTTATTTCACTGATAGCCCCGCGGAAGTGTATAGGTATAGCTCACGTCTCACCTGGATGGTCTGTTTTCCGCCGATGTTGGGTGTGTAGTCGGCACGGAATACGCCCGGCGTTTTCTCCGTGAGCCGTGCCGGTACTGTCTGGAACTGCTCATCCATTATCTGGGGAGGCACGGAGAATGGAAGGTAGAACATTACTCTGGGCAGAGTGACAGTGCGTCGCTAGCAGCATATTAACTATTCTGAACTGCATCGGTACCTCTCTGTTTAAACTTCTCTGTTTAAACTGGGCTGAGTTATGATAACATCACACAGGACACACTGATAATGGCAAGATGTCGGTACGAGAGTGTCGGTGCTGGCCAGTGCCGATATTTTGGCGCAAGCACCACTATAGGTACTTACGGTCAACTGAGGCGGCGCCCCGCCCGCCTGTCGCGTGTCGATACTGAACTGTGACGGCTGGCCAGCGGTAACCCCCTCCGACTGAACACCGGTCACCTTCACCTGAGAAACATCGTCACATTTCGTTACACTACACAACATCCCATGGTGACATATTGACGTTTCTCAGCACCATATGACATCGGATAGCATCATAGCTAGAAGGCGTCACGCAGTCACGTGAAGTCACACGACACGTGACGGCCGTCACGCGCTCCCACCGATCAGTGATCACACCACCTCCAACTGAGGTCATACACGTCAAATGATGCTTCAAACTCGAACAAAGTACCCTGTTCAATGCAACAGAAGAGAGCTGTTTACCGATAACACAGTCATTTATCGATTAAAAATGCGTTGAACATCAATTAAAAACCTCACTTTTAAGAGTGATGAACTCGAACGGGCCTCTAAAAAAGGCTCCATTACTGAAAGTCTCAAAAGGCCGGTGACGTGTCGAATTCGCCGATGAAAAGATGCATTATTTTCCTCGCCTATTGGAAAGGTTTGGAAAATTGATACTGGGGCACGGGTCGAGTGCTTGCGACAAGTGCAAGCAGATAACAAACATGTTGTTTAATCGACTTTGATTATGGACTAACCCCCGACTATAACCATGCTTCAAGCACTCGTCTTGTCATGGTCAGACATCTACCCACTTCTGCTGCCATTCCTCTGAGTCACTCGATACCTGAGTCAGTAGCTTTACCTACCCACCTTGGTCGGGTCTCCATGAACGGGCGGTGAGATCCGCGCCATCCACGGCGACTGGGGTATGTCCTCTCCCTCGCACAGCACGTGCACGGCGTACTCTCCGGGCGCCGTCGGAAAGTAGCTCACATCAGCCGAGCCGTCGCCGTTGTCTCGGCACTGGATGGCCGCCTGGGAGGGACCCTCGATGCTGAACCCCAGGGCGCCCGTCTCGCCGCCAGTGTCCACGGTGAAGACGGCTGGAGCGCCCGCAACGCCACCTCGCAGACCCGGTCCGAAGCAGTGAATTGCGGATTCCTGTGGTAGGTGGCAGCACCGGTCACAGCTGGGCTGGGCGGTACGGACTACGGTAGCGTTCATCTGTCGCCTGAGATGTAAACAGTATGGCTCCGGTGAGGGGCGGGGATCAGGCCGCTGATAGCATCTATGGAATGTGATAGAGCCACCCGGCGCCGCAGAGACGCCGCGGCAGACGAGCGTCTGATGATGGACGCGGCTTCTGGCTCTCGCCACGTGTCAATCAGCGATAGGTATGGCACGAAATGAGAAACATTGAGGTCACGGTATCGGACAAACGCCTGTAGCAAAGCCTCTAATGGAACGAATGAACCTCCATATGATGTGGTGCATCAAGCGAACACGCTACTGCACTCATCAACCTGCCAGATCTCACCTTCATAGGACCGACGTTGACCTCAAATGGTGACTTGGGGATCTCCTGTCCGCCATAGGAAATCATAGCGATGTAACGTCCCTCGCGAGTCGGATAAAACTCGCCCTCATACACGCTGTCGGCTACCTTTCTCAATGGCACAGTATCCGTCGTTCCTCCTGGAGCATCAAACGTGAATGCGTCATAGCAAGTTGGACGGTATGAGATTGTTGGGGTGAGTTATGGGTCAATCGTGGATGGGGCGTGGCAGCCCAAATGAAGTGCCCAGGGGCACGGCGGGCGAAATCTAGTCCAAATATAACCGCACCTCACAACTCACATATCCATTAGTGATGACTCATAGTTTGCTCTCAGATCTGACTGGGTTATGGGTTATGTGGCCTAATCTGACGACACTCGACAAACCAAGCAAAGGGTAAATACATAGATCAGGGTGTCAGCACCGGGTCAGATTGGTCAGTTCAAGCGGGCTGAATGGGTTCAACTGAAATGGGCTGGCAGCTGATAATAAAGGGAAGTATGTTGCTATCGCGATGGAAGGGTGACGACAGCATGAGAGTGCATCAGTCTTGTTAGCACAGTTGGTAGTGTGTCAATTGGACATGCCAGCTTCGAGAGCTCGTCTGTCACAGCCAGATATACAAGCCCTGAAGTCAACCTCGATCAACGATCATCGAACGTTATGCCCGTGCCGACAAATAACACCAAGAGCCCGGCATCATTCACCTCTGACCCGAGGTTGGCCACTCCACTCCCCTTCGACCCGTGGCCTCTGCACAGACCTGAGCCGTGACCTAGGTGACCTCTGCACTGACCTGGTGCGACAACCCGCAGCTGCGGCTGGCCGTCACCAGCGCCGTCGGTCCAGACCCGTACGTCAGCCGTGTCACCGACACGGACTCCGTGCGACTGCAGACCTCTGCCCGTGACACGGACACGGCGCGGGTCGCAGGCTGGACGGACAGGGCGGGGACGGGAAGGTCAGCTCGTCAGATTTTATGCAGCTTGATACAACTTAGTTATTCAGCATGCACTCAAGTAATCACTGGATGTGTTATGCTGCAGCTCATCAAACAAGATTAGCTATCTTATTGGCTCGGCCTAAAACCTATTCCGACATTATCTTGAAAGTAATGTGTTTCCGGTTTAACTTCCACTTCTTTCTGATACGGTCTGATCCTGCACATGACTCAACTTTGACTCGTAGCTACCTCAACTCGTATTTACCTACAGGCAGCATCTAGCATGATTTTGACTGTAATCATGACCTTAACCCGTACCTGGCCCGACTTTGACCGGGAACGGGACCCGTACCTGGTCCCACTTTGACCGGGAACGGGCTGCCGGCGATCGGCCGCCGGTCAAACAGCACGTTGACTGAGTGGAGGCCGGACTGAGGGGCGGTGAAGTCGCACCGCCACCGACCATCTGCTACAGGTCTCAGGCTCAGCTGCGAGGGCGGCAGGCTCTTCCCCTGCGAGTCCAGCACCATGACCTCCGGCGAACCGCGGCCGGCGTCTGAGGATATACAAGTGAGCAGGGTTAGAAAACTGCTTCAGAGGGCTTGGTGGGACGGTATAGCAGGGCGATATTATTTGATTGTTTATTGAGACTGCAAGGCGTGCCGACGCGTGCTGTAATGATAACTGATGGGGTGATATGAGCACGTAAATTCATAGAGATCGGAGCTCTGCATTACGTGTGGATATTAACCCTGATATTGTTATTTATTCCACCGCTTGACCTTAGCCTGCCATGAGAACATCGGTTCAATAACAGTACGATCCCACGGTACAGACTCTCACCTGCAGTTATTCTCCCACCCATCAACACCCCATGGCACGTCGGCCAGTCATCTACTGCTGACCTTCAGCCACCAAACGACATATCGGCCCCATCCAGCGCTGACCTTTGGTGAAGAGGTCGAAGTAGGTCGGTTTGCCGGCCACCACTCCGGTCGGCCGCAGCCCGGGTCCCGAGGCGGTGACCTTGTTTGGGTCACCGGCCGGCCCCTCCACGGTCACAGGAAAGGGAGAGCGGGGTACTGGCCGGCCGGCGAACAGCACTGACACCTGGTGGCGACCCTCGCAACTAGGCGTGTAGCTGCACCGGTAGGTCATTGTTGCGTCGCCGGAAAACTTGGTCTCGATCTGGGATGAGATAGAGGTCAGATGGTTATCAATGAGATGTGCGTTTGCGAATTGAAATATTTGCACATAAGACTGGGTATAGAGGTTGGTTATTTTTAAACAACAAAAATATGCTGACGTTTTCCAAATCAGCCGGCTCAAATACCTATTGCAAAAAAAAAAAACACCTTTCACTCCCATTTACGGGCTATGAGATGCACGCGAACGGGATAGGTAGCTCGCTTATGCTTTGTTTGCTCTTGAATGTTAGGGCGCAGAGGCATTTACTGACCGGTTCGATGCGTCCGTCGGGCCTGATGAGATCACACTCGACCTTGCCCTGGCCGGCGGCGAACGTCTCCACCGTGAAGGTAGTGGGAACACCGACCGCCAGGCCGGAGGGTTCCACGCCCGGCCCATAGCATCGCACTCTGAGGAGATATGTAAAAATTACGTCAGAAGAGGGACTGTGCCGAGATCGGACCAGAGGATTCCACGCCGGGCTCATAACACCGGACTCTAAGAGGAGAGACAATAACGTCACAAATGGAGTAGTAGCTAGCAAGGAGTGCTCGACACAGGGTCCCACACCATCCGACAGAGGCTAGAGACTGCAACTGCAGTTACAGGGATAAATGGCCGCAGCTGGTGAAGACTGTTCCTTTGGTTTCGACTCTGGAAACAGAAAATAGACGGTCAAATAAGGGAAAGAAATAATCAACGGACGATACCGTTGATGACTGATAAAGTGTTCCTGCTCCTGACCTCAGACTTACATGAACCTGACCTGACCCCGTGACCTATCAGATTCCCTCTCTGTTCCATGAGATAGCAGGGGGAACCAGATGACCCATAAGACCGCCCATCTCCGCCCGGTATCACCACTAGCACGGGGCAGTCACGGCCAATAGAGCCGAGATGAACCATAAGTCACGGCTCGGCTACCGTCCGTCACGGCTCGGTAGCCCGGTGACGTCACGGCTCGGTACTCCGGTGACGTCACGGCTCGGTAATTCAGTGACGTCACACAGCTGGAGACGTCAGTGGATAGCTGAGCTAGGATGGCTGTCACTCTCCTGCCGCTAGCTGAGCAAGCTTCTTTCCATGTGCCTATCAGAAGGAAAATGTTGGCAAAAAGGACAAAGAGAGACGTTCGAAGTGGGTAGGTGGGGGGTATATCACCCTTTAATCGTCTATCAAAGCTAAGTGTAAGAACTCGATGCATACAAGCTGTGACAAAGGGAAGACTCGGACCGAGACTCACTTTCTGCTCACCGGATACCGGCAACACCGTCTACCTCCAGCCTGGATAATGGTTAGAAAAGTCACTATGCAGCCACTAGCCACCAATCGCTCCGCCTTACTTGTAGCACCCCAAGACCTGAGTGACCTGAACATCACGATTAAGTTGGATGAAAGGGAGCGGTACACGTGTAAAGTGGCAGTGCATACCAACACCGACTCAGACGGTGCCAGCCAGGTCAGACGCCAGACGGTGAGCTGTCCACTGCAGCTGCGAGGGCTGGCTGGCTCCTGAGTCGCCAAGAGGGAGGGAGGGTCGGACGGCCACCTCCAGACGGTAGCGGTGGTGTACCATGTGGTGTCTGCACTGTCAGCTGCAGGAACAGACGGCTGCCCCAGGCCAGAAACGGTTATAGAAAAACAGCCGTGATGTCGCGAACGGTGATATTATTGGTTGGCTATCTCAAATAAGCCGTCACTTGCAGAAAACCACATATGAAAAAACGGCCCTCCTGCACGTGGCAGTTCGTGATTTGTGACGATTTCAGTTCGTGTGGTAGAAACTGAGTAGAGAGTCTGACACATTGACGGCGTCGGTACAAATGACCTGTGGCAACTGGCAAGTAGCAAGGTTGGCTTATGACGACTTGTGACTTGTGACATATCAATTTGTCAGGACCGATGACCTGTGACTAGTTAGTACCGTTTGTCGCCAGCTGTGGTATGTGACGAGGACCTGTGACATGTGACGGTGTCACTTTGTCAGCAGCTGTGACATGCAACAGTGCCAGTTTGTCATCTCAGCGGGCCGTACCCTAGTCTCCGTGCCCGGTTGATTATTTGTACTGGAACTGCAGTGAGAGCCGAGGACGGCAACGTGCAGTGACTGGCTGGTGAGGGCAGGCCGGCAGCGACACCCGTCTGACTCCTGCATTTCCGACACAAACAAACAGCCGGACTGCAGCTCCTGCTTCAGACATGAGTCAGTCCCGATAAGGACGTAATATTAATAAATTAAGTAATTACCTGGCTAATACCTACCCAGTTCCGACCGATAGTGTTAGGTACTTTTCAAAGATACCTATTCTTATGGTGCGGTACTAACGTACAGCATGGCATTAAAGCGGTGTTTTCTAAAAGCTGAGATGATTTGTGTTTCTGAACCAAGATTGACCGTCCTATAAGAGCTATGAGCTGCCGGATATTGTTCTTGTAACGTTATACGCATGACCGGAGTATTCTATAGCATCACCAATCATTATTAACCTGATGATAAATATGGCGGATATTGAAACCACCCGGCTTTAGACAAACCGACGTGGAATAAATCTCAGGCTACTAAAGTGGTAATGAATATTTAAGCATCACACCGTTAACCCCGTCGGTTATAACCACTTTGTTCACCTGAGAACTTATGCTGTCATCTCTCCTGTACTACAACGTAGTTAACGTCTCTCTTGCTAATGGACCTTGTGACTAAATGGGCATTGGGAAGTGTATCATATTGTTACATAATTACAGCTTCTCCAGCGTTATAACTTATGAACCACACCTAGAATATAGCTAGAGATGCAAATCATATCTAGGCGAAATACAACAAACGTAAAGGAAGAGAAGGAAGTGATCCCTGCCAATGCCCCCCCCTCCTCCCCATTACCTGCGGTCTCTGGCAGAGCCTCCTGGACCATTCCGAGAATCATTCCTGACCACCTGACTCACTCCTCACCCCTCTCTCCTCCCCGGAGAGAGGGGGCCGACCAGCTGATCTGTCGGTTCCGCTGCCCGAGGTCTGCACATCCGACACAGCACCGCGGTACGTTCGTCCATACATATACAGAAACAGTTGGGCGCCAGCACAGCGGGACAAACACTGAGTCAGGCAGGCAGCGGGACTGATTCAGCTGGGACGAGAAATGTTACCACATACCTGCAGCTGCAATCAGCAATTTAGATAAATAATAACGATGAGCTCGTAAAAGAGCACCGGCGAATAATCAAAATCAGTAAAAACGAAAAAATGAGAAGAATGGGACATTCTTTAAAAAAAAACAGGTCACAGTCGTGGCATGCCCAAACTAATTAACATCAGCACTCACATGTTAAATAGAGAAGTAGCACTCGCAAAGCGGTAATCAGACACTCAATTGCCCGTACACTGGACGATGTAAACATACGGGTACAAAAAAAATGTAGAGTATACCACCATAAACGATGCATGCGAAAAGGGGAATTCCATGCTTAATTTGCACACAGTGACTACTGCCTATCGAAACAAAAACACACTGCACACACCAGTGGTCACCGAGCGCCTGGAGCCATGCCGCTGTGTAACACTGTTACCTGGCTGATCCGGGGGCCGTCGAGACAGGCGTGCTGCGAACGGTAGCACGCGTCTCAGTCACGGCTGTCTCCCCCTCTACCCCTCCCCCATCCCCCCTCCAGACACCACGAGAGGGGTCACGTACTAACAGAGCGGCCCCCAGGCACCAGAGATGGGCGCCGGGTGGTGAAAACGGCCCGTTTGCATGTAGGAAGGCGCCGGTTGCGGCCGCCGACACGTGTGCTAGAGAGCACAAATGTCGCCTGATGGCCGCATGAGACGGGCCTCAGGTGGAGAGCAGGAGAGCTGGGGAGAGTGTGGGGTGGGAAGAGGAAGAGTGGGTGTGTCAAAGGGAACGATTGTAGGTTTTGATATCGGGGGCAAAACGTAAAGGGCCATGAGCGAGAGAGAAGGGGAGATAGAGGAAAGATAGATAAGAGGGGAGAGAGAGAGAGAGAGAGAGAGAGAGAGAGAGAGAGAGAGAGAGAGAGAGAGAGAGAGAGAGAGAGAGAGAGAGATCGTCCCACACTGTGTTGACAGGTCTCCTCATGGCACCTGCTGCCGATATCTGTCTTTGTGAGACAACAGCGTAACGGTCGCTCTCTCCGCTACAGAAACTGGACGGCAACCACCACATTGGGTGCCAGTCACGATAAACTAAGGTCTCTGACCGGCCTTGGTCGTAAACGGTGTAGATAAGATACCTTAACGCACTGTCCCAATCTGATGGCGCGGGATATTTGAACGTGTGACGGCTTCAGAGCTCGGCTGGGTCCCGAGATACGTCGTGGGCGCTCCACGAGTTGTCAAAACCCAGCGTCGGTGATCGGGGTTGACGAGATGCTCATCGTTCGCATTACAGTGCATGTAAAGCTTAGGTGCTGAAGGAAGTATTCTATAGAATTATATAATACAATACGATTGGCTCGTACCATGGGTATGATGAAATAAATGATAAGTGCGAGCTTTCGACATGGGGGTGAGGATGGAATAACTTAAATGATGAGGAATACCCGGGAGCTGTCGTAATGTCAGTCGGCGGAAACAATCGTATCGCAAGTTTGCAAGTTGCATTTAAAGTGTGGGCGGAAAGCCGCATATCGAGGAAGATAATGGTCAGAGCGAGCGATTCCCATTCACATCCGACTGGCTGGATAACAGTCAGCCATTGAACCATTGAACATAAGTCATATGTCAAATTTATTTGATGCGATTACAGGCGGGGGCTCGACATCGGCGCACAAGAAAAAAAACTGCAACTGTCGACGCACCAAATAGTTACAAGGCAAATCAAGGCTGACTTGTCATTATGTTACATTTGCCTGCATAACTAAAGGCACCTATTTCTGACTATGTAGAGGCAAGCATATACGTTTCCTCACCCATCCTAAAACATCCGTGTAATCTGATGACTTTATGTGCCCTAACCCACCTGTCGGGGTTGGTCTTGCTACGGAGCGGCGCGCCGGGCTTCAGCTTGGCGTTGGGGTACTGCGAGAGATACGTCATCATCGACAGCTCGTCGACGTTCGGGTTGATCATGTCCTCAGGTCGGATCAGCTGGAACACAACGGCAGATACATCATTGTTACATTCTACACTATTTGCAATTTAGTGCCAAGAGAGAATGACACTGATATACACTCTCGTGGTAGGTCATGACAGCGGCACAGTGACAGATGAAACTCAGGTTCAACGTACAAGTGCTATTGATCATCTGTATGGGGAAACCGACAAAGGGTCAAGAGGGCGTTTATCTTGATCTCATAACCACAATGGCTGTCTTCTTTGAACGGTCTCTAGCGACAGATTATCGGCTATCGCGGTATGAGAGGTTATATCGCATTAGTTATCGTTTAAAGGGACCCTCCCACCTTAACATTAGATTTGAGTTGAGATAGCCAAAATGGGTTCCCTGGCTCACAATTACCGGTTTCGGCACTCACAACATCGAGAAATGCCTTGAAAATGCCATATTGAATTTCAAAATTGCAGCATTTTGATTCAGAGGGGCTAATGCATAGGAATAACCCTCTGAATGTGTGACGTCAGCGCAGATATCTAACGATTTTTAAATGTTTGACTAAAACGTTTTGTAGCACGCGGTGGTATATGCTGCTTTGCGCGCAACAAGTGCCGCACTTTCAGCTGCCAAACTATTGCTTCCAAATAAAGTCGCTAGGAACAGCGGAGATCCCAAAAAGTAAACAAAAGTAAAAGTCTAATATCTTGAAAACCGGTGAATATTTTTCGGTGAAATTTGGTAGATATTCGTTTTCGCTCTTTCTGAACCGAGCGACATCACTTTCATGCCAATTCATAAACTTTTTTGAAGGTGGGAGGGTCCCTTTAAAAACAACCAAATTTTGTTTGTTTCATTTCTGTTCGATGTTTGGTAGGGCTAATTTCAGTGTCACGTAAAAAAAACGCTGACTGGAAAATGCCGTTAGAAACCAATCAACGTCTGTTTTCCTTTGACTTGGAACGTTTATGTGTAATACAGATGCTACTCCGGAATTACACCAGTTCGCACACATATAAACTACCCGTATCGTTTCCCGCCCGTTTCTCCGTCCGTTCATCCGCTGACTGTTATCCAACCGTCTTTGTGTGCGGTGGGCCGACTCTATACAAACAGAACCTCTGCGAGTTCCCTGAACTCGTAGAGTCACGGTATACCACCTGACTCCCAGATCTGACCTCGGCTCGGACCGACACTGACACTGACAGGCTACTCGACAAACCCTAGTCGGACAGGGGAGCCTTAGAAGACACAGTCGGGCGCTATGTGTGTTCACAGTGAGTGTCAATGAGGGACTGTATGGTGTATTTACTTGCTAGTACTGACACGACATATGTAAAGATATAAAGCCGCGGTCTGTGCCGAGGCCGTTGTGTGTGGTATACTGAAGTGCTACTGAGAGTCGGCGAGGAACATTACTCAGTGGACATTGGACAAGGGACAGAGAGCCTCAGTCTGCATAATACAGGTGTTGCTTTCTGAATTACTGAAGTAGAACGTGCTTAGGATATAGACAGCTGGTTATGGAAGCAGAGACCTCCACTGGTGGTCGTCCTAATGGTGCTATTGTCAGGCCACGCAGAAAGTAAACTGGACAGTGACAACATGCAGCACATTCAGCTTACAAAGGAACGCATGTAACAAATATCAGCTTACACAAACACATCAGGACCTACGTATTCATACACCGGACAACGGTAGGTGGCAAGAACATGTGCCTATTTATAGAACTTGTGTCCACTACCCATTCAGTATTCACCACCTGAGCGGAGAACGTTCAACAGTTGACCACCCCTCCCTTCCCCGAGTCCACTGACAGCACGTTCAGCGTCCTCACCTGCGGCACGTTGAGCCAGTCGTCAGCCAGGCCCATGGCTTCGGAGGCGTTCCTTAGGGCGTCTTCTGACCTCCAGTTGGACCAGTCGGGACACAGACCTGGGGAAAAGGGACAGGTTACCACGGAAAACACACACCGCAGACATATGGGGCGTCTCCAGATCTCCAGATGGACCAGTAGGGACACAGACCTGGGGAAAAGGGACAGGATACCGTCAGTTATACGGAAAACACACACCATAGACACATGGGGACGTCCTCTGACTTCCAGTTGGACCAGTCAGGACACAGACCTTGGGAAAAGGGACAGGTTAGCGTCAGTTATACAGAAAACACACACCATAGACACATGGGCGCGTCTCCAGACCTCCAGATGGACCAGCAGTCGGGACACAGACCTGACGGCAGCGACGTGGAACTTATTGGTGGCAATGGCATACTGATGATAATACACGGATCTGACGGGGGGAAGCACTGATGGGGCTGAATTTCGAGCAGGCGAGCTGAGATACCGACGTTGGAAGGGGTGAACATGAATAAATGTTGAAATCAAAAAGTTCACCGATGACCGAAGCCCGATGAAGCAGTTGAATGCATAACACAAAGTGTCTTAAGAAGGATATACAGCTTATGAAGTGTCACAAAAAGTGATTTCATAAGAGGATATCGAACGAGCGCCGCTCTCAGTCGAACAAACAGCGAAACAATTAAAAACTGAGGCTCGCTGCGTCTTGTTATCGCGTTACGTTTTTGTGACCGCCTGAACTTACGGACTGCAACAAAGACGACCTGTTTTATAAATGTCATATCGATCGTCGGAGGGTCTCAGCTGATAACGAAGTATGTCGACTAGGTGAAAACATGCTCCTTTATGTCTGCAGCACGCACGAGGTAATAGGCGAACAATGGAGACAAATTGACATATTTGGCGTGAGCCGGGTCTGGTCTATATCGGCCCTCCTTCTCACGTCTGTGGGTGACCATCAGAGCTAGACAAATGATCAGCGATCTAATTGTGGGCCGGCAGGCGTCTGACCTCACGCATGTGCGCACATCCCACAAGAGGATGACTTCTACTGACCCTGACCTGGATAGCCTCTGCTGACTTTAGTGACCTCTACTGAATTCTAGTCACCTTTTCCGACCACCGCCTTCCCCTCATCCCATTTACTCTCCAATGACCTTTATTGGCCCTCCCAACTGACCCTAGTGACCTCTTCTGACCTTTACTGACCCTTGCTGACTTTACTGAATGCTGATCCAGTAATCATTCCGCCGACCCCAGCCGACCCTAGATGACCTCTACTGACCTAGGCTGACCCCACTTCCCCACACTGACCCCTGATGACACCAACTGACCTCTGATGACCCCCACTGACCTCTGATGAACCAACTGACCCCTGATGACCTCCGCTGACCTCTGATGACCCCCACTGACCTCTGATGATCCCAACTGACCCCTGATGACCCCTTTCTACTGACCTGGTGCCACACCGTCCACCAGAGCGCCGATCGCCTTTCCGTCCCTCCAGTCTGAGGTGAAGTTTTTCACAGGCAGACCGGGCATCTTGGAGCCCACCCAGTTCATCAGCCTGAGGGAAGCATGGATCCAGTACACAGGGGTGATACAAACTGGAGTGTTTCAGCAACAGACGATGCCCAATATCTAAAATTGCAGTTAAGTTGTTATTGGCGGCCCAAACAGAATCCCACTAGATTCATGAATGTGAGCGGCATTTCGATATCTAATTCATTCGCCACAAAAATAACCTAACAAAATGACAAGATTCACAAATCACAAAGCATTTAAATTCACAAAATCTCTGAAAGCGCGATATCGTCATATGCTTCTAAAATATGCAGATCTGTAAAAAATAGGTACTCTTTGAAAATTCAGAAGCGTAATAATTGCAAACACTCAGACCGCAAAACAGGTCCGATAAATCTGACTCGTTGAAGACTTGTGATCATAGTGCCCCCTCTTGACTTCGGATAAAGTGACCACGCCTGGTAATTACGCCCCGGGACCATTGCACCCCACGTGACTGAGGGATGTGTCACACGGTCACACCGAGCCCGATTCTGGAGAGCCCCACCTGACTCTGGGCGCTGGCTCGGGCCTGTCGTCGGCCTCTTCCAGGCCGTTGTCGCCCTCCCACATGGGGATGGAGATGCTGTAGTGCAGGATCAGTGTCCATATCAGACCCAGGATCAGCTTCAGCTGGCAGTCCACGATGTGGGTCGAATCTGTAAGTTACAGACGGGGGAGCAGAGTTAAATCAATATTCAATCGACATGATAAAATATCAAGTTGTACGCATATACAGTAATAGGCGACACCGCTGTAAACAAACTATGCATAAGATGAGTACTGAGTAGTAATTACAGCCTTATCTCACAACGGCCGAGCCCCCTAGTCATCGTCATGGTCATAGTCTCATACTGACACATGTCCCCACTCCCCAGTCATCGACACTCGTCATCATATGTATAACAAAGACACTTATTCAGCCTCCCGAGCCGGACAGTCACCACACTGCACGTCACGTCTTATGACCACGGGGCAGCCACTGATCTCAGCACTCCAAACGAACGTGGCCGGGGTAAGTAGCTGAGTCAACAAGACGGCGGAGTCCGAATCTACCGAGTCACGACTGCTCCTCCCTGACGCGGGAGGAGCAGTGGTAAAATTCAAATCGTGGTAAAGTAGGATCACTTATGATGGTCTTCAAGTCAGCGTGTGTGTAAGTCAATGGAGAAAACTATGCTCATTGTTGATATAATGCTCTCAATCAGCTAAGCGAGGAGTGGACGAAATAGGAGTTTAAAATACATTTGAAGTGTTCTTCCATTGTCATATCCCGGCGATTTAACAATCATTGGTCATTTATCGGACTTATGCGAAAAAATGCCCCAACGGTAGCAGAAGCGACCGAGCCATAATAAAATGCATCACACGGGTTCACACCACTTGATTGTATCATTCCACACCTACCCATTTATCCAGTAATCACCTTGACAAGCAACACTTGACTGTTAGCACGTCACAAATCATCCTTGACGTGGAATTCTACCCATGTATTGCCACCAGTCTTTCTGCCAAAGCTGTGCAAACAAATGGTGATTAATGTCCGCCCAGTGATCGATTAGTATTTGTGCTCGAAACGATCACTGTCACATCAAAGTTCCTCGCGTGTCTGCCTAAGTGCTTTCCAGATTGTGTCTGCTGCGGGTCCCGCCGATTTTTATCAGTTATTATCCCGCAGACGTGTCCAGCGTCGCTGCAATACAGAAGACCACGAACCTTTTCAGTTCCTGAAGCACTCATTCGTTTTAGACCCCGTTTCAACGGTCTGCTGGATTGCACTGCCGTGGGACTCTTGCAGGGGATTTCCAATAGTGCTTCCACCCAGAGACAGAGACTGGATATGTCTGCCACGTCGTCCCAAGTGGCTGTTTCCCGGTGATTCTCCCCGCTCCTGTCCCGAGGGGGCGTTATCAATCGGCCAGCCCAATTGGCCAAACCATTTGTCTTCATCCATTTCATCGGAAAGGCCTGGTCGACTGTAGGTTTTATGGCTGTAGGTAAGTTGCCGCTGCCAATATTCATCATGACGATATGTTCTGCGAAGGGGTTTAATAGGAGGTCAATGTGGTTCCGTCACAATGGCGTGACAAGGAGATCTTTGAAGATATGAGACGTTACGGAACTAGACAGTCGCCATTTCGGGACTCACTTCGGCGGCACAATTGAGAGCTTCACTGCGGTGAACCTGTCCTGAGTGAGCTTTGTTGGCGTGTTCGATAAGAAGGGGCTACCGAGCATTCATTTTTAATTGACGATTCACCACAAGGTCTAACTCCAGCGCGCTGAATAAATGATGAGTCTGCGAGTTGTCTGGCTGGCTCGCTGAGAGGATAGCCCACAGACCTTCGTCGGTACGTCACGTCTCGAGTGTAGTGCTGATTGAGTGGGGGATCCGCAGTGACGACTGTATTCCACGGTGTGTAAACGCCTGCTACCTGACTGAGGTGTGTTAGCTCTTGCCACTCTTAGGACATTTCAGCACCGCTGCACACTGCCACAGTACCGGCCGCCATTCACAGGCATCGCGACGGCTAGACTTCTCTGCTGCATCGAATTAGCTGAAGGCATGGATATCGGAAGCTGATCGTCCTGAAAGATGCGATGTGCCCTGCTTATGCTTTGGATACTGAAGCAGACGTTATGAGTTGGTGCCATGAGTGTTTTCTGGCTATGGGGTCAATAACCAATTACATAAAGCTTTAGGATAACTGTCTTGTCAGACAATCCGTTTGTCATCATTCTAGTCGCAGTTACACGGGACATATCTGCCCACGGCGATAAATGATCCCGGGAGCATCTAGTGCCGGGTGTGGTGCATACCGTATGACCCCCGCTGCATCTCCTCAGGACACCTGCAGTGGTATACCTACAGGTGGTGAGTGCTGGGACCAAAATCTCGGTGCGGCCGACCGTTCGCACTGACGACAGGTGGTGGCCCCATGGTGACGGAAAGGCGTCACTTCCTGTCGACCGTGTGGAGTCCAACGGGAACTAAACACGCCGAAAAGGGGACAGTACAGGACAACATGCATCAATTTTATCGGCATTTAAAATCGTGGAGGATATGACAGCAATCGCCGGCTATACTAGACGCCTGTTATTATTTGGACATTCGGCGACCAAGGATGTCTCGAACTGCCCAATATTGGCCCTTGGGTCGTTATTTTCTACAAAGGGTTAAACGATTGGGAGTCTAATTAGCAAAGTAATCTTGATTGAGGGTGACAGGTAATGAATTCTGCGCCAGAGCTCGGTGTATGCAACCACCAGCGACTTACACCAGCTCAAGTCAGTCAGTCTGCTGGTGGGTGAAATGCTCCAGTATTCAGCTGTGGTTCGACCTCGCTGTCGACCCGACCCTAATCCAATACCAGGACATGCCCGTCTCGGTTATATCAAATATTGGAATTGGGCTCCGCATGTCAATTCAATACCATCTCGCCGCCACAGTCCAGCTCCGCTGTAGGAATATATGTGGGGCGGTGTATAACGTCCGGACGGGGCTGTCGCATGCATGACACGTACCTATGTCGACACATGGCATGTTCAGCTATCGTAATGCTGCTGATGCCGCCAAGTGGAGCTGGTTGTTGAACGACATAACCACATGGGCATTTTAATATAATAAAATGCAATATTTTAACTAGATTGAAAGCTATGCCAGCACTAGCAATTAGTGACACGGTCACCGTCTTTGCACAAATTTTATTGGAAACAACACATATGACTGAGTCCGTGTAGCTCCCTCTGAAAACAACATCCGTCTTTGCTTCCTTTGAGAGCTTCTCCGAGACCCGGAAGCTTGTCTGACTGGAGCAGGGCACAAAGACTGAGAAAGCACACCTGACTACCCGCCCGCCGTCGGACAGGGCCGGAGCAGCCGTCCCGTGCCGCCCAGACGGCGACTTGCCAACTATGACTGCGCTGCACCCCACGGCGGCGACATTCACGGAATGTGCTGCTCTCTCTCTGTCCACCACAAACGGCTACCCGCGTCCAGGATTGGAGGTGGAGCCAGGGGACTTCAGGAGAGCCAGGAGGCGTCCTTCTCAACCGTTGAGACCGTCAGACGTTCAAACCAGCGCTGTCTTTTGATATCGACATTCGATACAGCTTGTCTTCCGGTGTGTGTTCGTCTTTTGTTAGACAATCTAACCGTCTGTTGTCTCGTCTTCATCGTACAAATTTGCCCGTTCAGTTTAGTAGGCTCTGTCTGTCTGCTGCCGGTTCCATTCACCCAGACTGCTGACCCGTCTTTCCCAGTCCGCAGTCGCCAGTCTGCAGTCTGTCTGTTGACGTATCTGAGCCGCCAGTCAGTAGTCCCCCGCCAGCGCTGACTGATCTGTCTGTCAGTAAATCACGCCACTCAGTAGCGCCATCGGATCCCCCGCAGGCGCAACACGAAACTCCAATAGGTCGCCGTCGGGTCGGGTAGCGGTTCGCAGAGTTTGCAGCAGCCTCCCCTCCCCTCCCCTCTCCTCTCCTCCCTCCCCTCCCCTCCCCTCCCCTCCCCTCCCCTCCCCTCCCCTCCCCTCCCCTCCCCTCCCCTCCCCTCCCCTCCCCTCCCCTCCCCTCCCCTCCCCTCCCCTCCCCTCCCCTCCCCTGGGAGGTGAGAGCTGAGCGCATTGCTTTGTCGCCACCGACGACACGAGAGTTGGGACAGACACATTCCGGCCCAGGTCTGTAGCGTACGGCCTATCATAAAGTGAGCAGCGTATTGTTGACTGTCGGCGGTTGACTGTAGGTAAACGGGCCGCTTACTACGGCTGCAGACATCCATTCTCACCGTTTGGTGAAGACAACCAAAGGATGATTTATCAGTCCTTGCTACAAGTGGTTCGCTGGTCGACATACATAGCTGATGAAAGCTATATCTTCCGCCCTCACTTATCGTCTTTGCCCGAGAGAGTTCATAGCAGGCTTCTCAATTACTTGACAACAACTGAGTGGAGACTTCTCAGACAGTCGATGACATAACTAACGGATTACCTGACCTGATCATGACAACTGACGAGCAACATCTCACGGCTGCGACAACTGTCCTATGATCATTGGCCGTTTTAAGGATCATAAGCGGCGCGGCGGCGTAGGGCACTCCCTCTCATAATAGACTTACGGATTATCGTAATCGTTCGCTACTGGGAGCCGCCTGATCCAGATATCTGTGGGCTTATCGCGGCAGATGACCCCGTTCCCATCCCCTGCCTCACCCCACCACGGCCATAACCTTTCACCCGTATATAATCAGCGCGGGACGTGCTATGGTCGACGGAACACGTTAGGTTTACGTGTCCCACAGATTGATGCAGCGAGAGGGCTGTACCGTCAACCAATGGGGTGCGGACAGTTTATGGGGCTACTATAGACCCCATAACGCCGGTGCTTCACACTGTTTGATCAGACCAACAGAGATTTCAAGAGGTCTTAATCTATGTAACGTGAATGGTTGAGTCACCACCATATTGCTTTATAGCCTTGAGCATACCTTTGAGCATGTGTAAAGTAGAGGTTCTGTAAAGAAGTGAGTGACCACAAATTCGATAGAATACGCATGTGTTAATTATTTGTGGCCGGTGTCCAGCAATTATTGCTTAGTATTGAAAAGTTTGAAGATGTACCTAACAGCAACATTTATCACAATGCTGATGGTGAATCAGCGTGGATCGCTACGGACTAACAATCAATATCAAAATAAAACGTTACTTATTTTGAAGTCGTTGCATAGATGCCTGACTTCTGAAGATCACGATCTTAACCTGAATGCTATCCACCACTCGCCGCCGGCCGCAATCACAATTTACGTCAGTCAACTCACAACCTAAGTCACCACCATCCGCCATCGTATTCACCACGATTCACCGCCAGTCCGCGGTGACCGCAGCTGACCAAGTTGGTGTTGTTGGCCTTTTTTGCCAGCGGGACGTGACTGCTCCAGGGCTCACGTCTGGAGTGTGGTCACTCCAGTGGGGGAACGTGCAAGCCACAACCACCTCCATATCGCTGAACGGTCACCTCCCGGGTCTAGTTACAGTGGCCTGAGAACAACAAACGGACCTGACACGGACACGGAACGGACAAGGAACATAGACGGAACGGAAACGAAACGAAAGCGAAACGGAAACGGACATGGAACGGTCACGGAACGGACACGGAACAGAAACAAACGTAACGGAAGCGAAACGGAGAGAAAACGGAAACGAAACGGAAACAAAACGAAAGCGAAACGGAAACAAAACAAAAGCGAAACCGAAACCGATACAGAACGGACACGGAACGGACACGGAACAGACACGAAACGGCCGCTGCCAGAATAAGAAACGGACACGAGCTCCGATATTTCCTCGCTCGCCCCTCATATCTTACAACTGCCATTGCAGCACATGACAGGTGCCGTTTCATTTCGCGACGTCCCTTTCCTCGGCTGACCTAGCACCCTAGCCTCTCTTTACGTCCCCAGCTCCCTCGCTGTGTTTCACTCCACCCGCAGGACGCCCTCCTCTCTCCCCTCCCCGGCTCTGTCACGCGTGACATGTCCCGTGTCCCGCCGAGGTCATCTGGGGGCGGACAGTTGCAAAACAAACACTGTCCGCCGGCGGACGCACAGTGCCGGCATTCAATCACAGCTGTGCACCCTAAAACGGGCGGCGGGACGCACCGGAAGTCCGACACGCGTGGCGCCGGTGACAGACGGCAGTTGACACTGACACTGACAGCAGTGAGTGACAGTGATGGTGACAGTGGCATCAATTGCGTCAGCTACAGTAACAAACAGAAGCAGCGACAGTACGGGCAACACAAATGTAGAAGCAGCGACAGAAGTAGCAGACAAGACAGGCAGAAACAGCACCAGTCGCAGAGATGTAAATTAATCACTTATCGCCATCCAACCAATTCTTATTGTGGCAACATATAATTGTCGGTTACATTCTGAGTCCATTAGACCCATGCAGTTTGATCCCACGTGCTTCGTTACGTGGCCCGTGACACCAGGCTATCACGGTCATCTCTGCACTGTCGTGACACTGTGATGGTCCCGATGTCACGTGGCTGGTGTGACGGGTTGCGTCACGCTCTCCTACCCCACGGAAGGGGATGGGCACCTGCAGTCTGCAGGATCTGAATGGCACGGGACCGGTGGAATGCCGAAACCTGTAGCCCGGAGCTGCACTTATTTATGAAAGCGCTCGGTGGCTGGTAGTGAACGCGTCAGTAGCGATACGATTAATATGTTATAATGCCCGCATTGGTTCAATGACCGAAATTTTCTTTCCAATAACAGTGGCAATCTCGCCAAAAACGTCCAAACTCCGATAAATATAAAAATATGAACTATAAACGGTAACATTATCCTACCATCAATGCATTTTCCGGCCAACTAATTCGCAACGTACGAGTAGGTAGGTATATCCACCAGATACCATGAAGGCCTAATTTCGGTTTAACCAGCTCCTGAAGCCTTGCACGTTTCTCATCACCGACCAGAAATCTCGACTGGCCGCGTAGGTATACTGCGGTGCAAAGTGGCTATAACCGCTGCCGCACGGCCCTCTGGCAAGCGTGATAACTCATTAATTCTGCAGACGAGTTTCATGAGGGAGGACGAAGCTTAGGTCCAGTGAGGCAGGATATGTCTTCACTGAACAAGCTCAAATTCCCACACCCAGAGTTGCGAGCAAGGAAGTCAGTTGACTGACCTGCCTCGACTTGATCCGACCCAACTTGACAGTGCAATCTGACCCGGCAAATTTGACAGGACCAGACTCGATCTGGGGAAGCTGCTGGGAACGAAGATCGCCTCAGATTCAAAGTTCAGCATTCGAATCCACAGTATCGATGCGATGGTGGAGAGAAGAAGCGTGTTCAGGAGAGAAGCAATGGAGAGACGTGACTGGGAGCCGAGGAGACGAGCTCCGGAGAGACGGGGAGACGGGTTCCGGGGAGACACGCCACGCTCGGCCGATGGGGAGCACGCGTGACTCTCAGAAAATGACACGTCGACCTGTCACGCACTAGGGACTGCCGCCCGGGAAATATACGCCGGGTCAGAGACGGGTTCAGTGATGGGAGACAATCCAGTATGGTGACGTGATAGGTGACAGAGACTGGAATGATGTCTCGTAAGCTGAGAGGCGAGATCGCTTACTGGACCAGGCTTTTCATTTTGAAGAAATCCGAGGTGACGAAAAAGGTACCGGTGTTTGGCCATGGCAGGTGATACCCAATCTGGCATCACAGCGTCAGTGCTAAGTAATAAGTTCGTCATCTCCGCTATGGTACAGGCGAGACCAATTGGCACGCCCCTTCACCCGACAATTGTCTCGTCGAGTCGTCTCCCGTTTTCTCGTCATGTCCCCCCGTCGCGTCCTGTCAACTCCAGTACTGTTCCCTCTCACTCCCACCCCATCCCTCCCGTCCCATCACAACTCATCCTATCCCATCCCATCCCATTCCATCCCATTCCATCCCATTCCATCCCATTCCATCCCATTCCATCCTATTCCGTCCCATCAGTGCGGTACTCACCGATGTTGACGATCTTGATGTGCTCGTCCCTCTCCAGGAATCGCAACGCCACAGACACATTCTCCAGTTTCTGCGAGCGGAACGTGGGCTGCCGGCTGTGGCGCGGCATCCGCTTCCCGCTGAGCTCCTCGATCAGCGCGATCAGGTTGAGTCCATCCTGCAGGTCCGTCTCCAGCGAGTTGATCCGACGGTGGCGCGGCTTCAGGTGCTCGTTGGCCCAGCGGGTGAAGGTGTTCTGCTGAATGCGCTTCCACTGGGCATCGTCAGCGAGATCACGCTCCTCGGCCAGCATGGCGTCCTCGTGCGGCGGTCCCGCTGACCGCGGCGCGCTGCCACTGGCAGCCGCCGGCGGCGACGGTACCGCCGAGCCCATGGCGGCTACTAGCGCCACCTGGTGGCAGCAAGCTGGAACTAGCGCCGTCCCCTGCAACGCGGCGAAACGAGGCATGTAAACGGGCAGTTCATTAGACGGTCATCGCACCTTGGCGTGAGATGGCCGGTGCAGTGAAATAAATACCATGAAAGTCACCACAGTCGTGACATAATTAAGTTCAAGACGAAAGAAAAATAAATTATTAAAGCTCCTGCTGCCTTTACTTGACACGCGATTATGTGATGGAAAAAAAACACAAAAAATCGAAAGTCAAGTCTCTTCATAAAATGTGTACATTTAGAACTTAAAGGAACCCTAGAAACAACCATGCACTTGCTGTAGAACAAGATTGAAAGGGGACTTTAATTGTCTATTTCGGCCAAAAAGTCCTAAACAGCCGTTTTCGCGACGGCCATCTGGTACACATTTGACGCAGGTTAGCTGCAGATTTGCTGCAGATCTGGACAAACTAGGTTCAGTGGATTTCTTAAAAGTTATCAGTTTGGGCTGCACAAATGCTTCTACACCTCATTTTTCAAATTATCAGGCATTATTTTCAAAGTAAACTAAAATGAATTCATGGTACGAGATTATTTATTGTAAAAGAGATTTGGTGCAGATTTGGTCATATTAGGTGTAGGTATTCGCCAGATAGCCCGTCGTGAAAACGGCTAACATAGGTAAACAAATTGAATAAATAAAAATTGCACTGAGACACGGACCCAGATGCATCAATAGGTAATAGGTATAATGAAAAGGGGCGCCATCCCCACTAGCCACAAGGGGAGCGGAGAGGGGCAGATAAGCCGCCGCAGGACTTCCCCTGCGTACGCTAAACGGACATCGCTGACACCGGCTGGGGGGGGGGGGGGTGGAGCGGTGGCAATGTATCCATGTCAGCGTAGCACGTGCTCGCTCGAACACGTGCAGAAATCAAACGTGCTCACATTATGCTAACTACCATGTGTCCACAGAGGCGGGATGGATTAGGCGTGGTGCACGTCGGATGCTGGTGCTCTATTGGTAAACAAACGTTCGTTACACGTAAGGCCAAGGCCCTGTGGCAAGACAATAGAGGCCAGTCACAGGGACACCTTTGAAGCTACGGAGAGAGAGGGGAAGTGACCCTCACCCGCCCATATCCATCTCATTCTTCGTAAATTCCCCGACGTTATGAACATAGTTGCTTGGAATTCATCCGTTGTTATTCATCGTTTCACAGCCTCTGGTTTTAAACCAGTGCTCTAAACCGCGCCGCAGTAATGTGCATGGAAAACAGACTGTTTCAATAAGCGACCCATTCATCACGTCCATACACCTACCTACCTGTCTCAGAAGACCAGCAACATCTTCATTCGGTCGTCCGTGGCGGGGGAAATCCTATTATTCACAGCTCCTTCGCTGGAAACACTGCTGTCTTAAAATTCACGACTCCTCACAGCCTCACACAGCACCCACAGCTCAATGGTTAGCTATCTAGCCGTCTCTAGACCTCATGACTCAGCGAAACTCCCGGCTGGGTGCGCTGGCTCGCCAATCGTCTCCAAACTCTACTCACTGACGTTCACAGCTCCCGGGCTGGTTCTCTTTCAGCCTCCTCCCGACAACTGTACGATCACTGGCTCGGGATCACTCCCATCCTCTCCCACCGAGTGTGACAGCGGCTGGTCTCCGCGCCTCCACCTGACCCGGTCAACAGACAACACACCCCTCCGTGCCGGGCCCGACCCGCACCTGGCCCGTACTGGCCCACTCGGAGCAGCGACGGCGCCGACGGCCGCCGGCGGCCGAACGTCGGCCCACTGTCGGCCGGCGCCCGTACTAATTATAGCGTCCGACGGGGATACAGACCTCACCCTCCCCCCCCCCCCCCCCGGCGGTACCGCCCCGCCCCTAACCCACGAGAACCGCAGGCCACCGCGGAGAGATACACAGTCGAGTCGTGACTTTGTAATGGAATGATGAGGGTTAGGACGGAAAGCGGTGAACGCGACTCGCCGCGGGTTAACGAGGTGTTATCCTGCTAAGGAGATACGGCTAATGGAAAACAAGCGGCATGACAGCTGTAGAAGTAAGGTGCACATAATTTCTGGACACTCTGCGCCAGTAGCATACTAAGAGCAGTATGCCGGCTAAGGAGGATGCCTTAACTAAGTGGTCAGCGACCTTGTGCGAGACAGTCGTGCCTGACGACAGAGCTGTCATAAAGGGGCCGGTCTGCGCCCCGCCCCGCCCCTCTGCAGGCTCACTGTCAACAGAATCAGTCGGACGTCTCTGACTCTCCCCATCTCTATTCTCTCCTCACGGGTGCCGGTGCTTCCGAACAACTGAACATTGTGCTGCCGTATCATCCCATACAATGCCATGGCATCCCATTTGAGAATTACATTGCCCGCTCGAAGCAATCTTTCAAGTCTGTGATGTATATCTTTATTTCTCGGTTCCGTCTTTCATAACCTGTTCTATCCCAGCACCGTGCCTGCATCTGTTTGACCTAGCTGTATCTCACCCTGTTTCCGTCCACCCCACCCCTCCCCTCGTACCCCTTCGTCAACCGAGCGCGATATCACAATCAACCCCCCTCCCCGCATCCCTGACCCCTACCGTCGAGGAGCTGCGGCACGCAAAGCACGCTCAGTGGCGTCCGTCAGGGCACGCCACGCCATTCATAATGCACTCGGCTAACCTCGCCGCACCACAACCGAACCGTTCTCGGGAACAACTAGCTCAAAGTGGTTGGAGACGGTGTTTAGTCGTAGAAATACACGCAATATTCGTACCTGGCCAGATATGAAGAGTAAGACACGTAGGTATCTACTTATATTGGTTTCACTTATGTATTTCTTACCTATGCCATTGGACGGCAGCTTCCGTTACATATTGTCGAGAAGCTACATGATGCATTGATTGCCAGATATAGATGGATATTCGTGTGCCAGCTCGAACAGTTTTTTTTATTCCGGTCATCATCAGCCTACATTCACATAATAAATACAACTCCTGTCCTCCTCGCCATTGTGTACAATGTACCAGTTTACTAATTATTTACTTCCGGCGTGCGGTCAGTTGCTCTTTTCGGCCAGCATGTAGCCGCAGAAGAAGCGGAGTTTCTTGTCGCACGGCACGGGGCGCCAGCTCTTCCTGCGCGTCGAGAAGGCGGCGCAGAGCTGCGGCTCATCCCCCACTGCCTGTGCCGCCGCTTCTGCCGCCGTTTCTTCATCGACCTCGGGTCCGGTACCCTCCTCCCAGACCTGGAACTCCAGCGGGCTGCCGTCGGCCCAGCCCCAGAACGCCTCGCCTGCCTCGATCTCGCCGCTCAGACCGATCCAGACCTGGTCCTGGCCCGCTCGCTTGGCTCGCAGCAGCAGCTGGGACATCTGGCGGCAGATCGGAGAACTAGGTTACGATTGTGCGACAGCCGACAGCGTATACCGCAGATCAACTTTGTAACAGCAATGCAACAGGTGAACTTTCACTGGAGATAAGGGAATGCATAAAATGTTTCCATTAATAACAGTTTATCAATGATTCATCTAGAATACCCCGAAATTCCTGGATTTATGCAAACAAAAAGAAAAAAACACGGAGACCAAAATATCATGCATCGTAGCCATCGAAGCCCCTCTATCAAGGTATGAAGCAAACAAAATACATGAGAATAGTCATGGTCTCCCGTCTTTTCCTCTGTCTCTCATTCGTTACCTGGAAGACGTCTGTGACGGAGGCCAGCGCGGCGCCGGCCTGGGCGTCCTCGCAGTGGCGCTGCGCCGCCTCCCAGCCGAGCACGGCCGGCACGTACATCAGACACTGGTGGCCGTCGTGCCGCCAGCCGCTCGGGCAGCTGTCGCGCCGCACCTCCGCCTCAGTCTCCAGCTCGTAGGTCTGCAGCGGCCAGCCGCTCACGGCTGCCGCCGCGCCGTCGACCGGCCAGAGAGCAGCGGCCGCCGATAGCAGCGCCACCACGGCAGGCAGACGGCTGCTCACACTGACACCTGGCGGTAAAAAGGGAGAAGTTTCAGTTCATGGACAGAACGAGTTTAAAGAGAGGTGGCGTGTTAGCTGTCCGTTCTCTCTTTCTGAAGGACATCACAATTCACAATTACGATTTACGACTGTGCTACATGTTTGTAAACTTATAAACGAAGAAAAGTAGTGCATTTGACAGGCAGCCCACATTCATGGCCAACAAGACATGGAAACTTGGAATATAAACGGACAGACCTCGACGCAAAACCCGCAGGGATACCGGGTGACCAAGAATTGCAAATTGCACAGCTTCCACCGTTCCGTGATTCTATCCTCAGGATACTGAAATCCTTCTCCTCCACGCCGCAACCCCCCTCCGGGCTGGACAGGCAACTTTATCTCATGCGGGCTGCTCCCTTGGAGCGGCACCGCTGCTCCCGAGGGAGCGCACCCCGTAGCCGGGTGCAGTGAGTGCCTTGGGGCTGGGTGGCCTGTCCTCTGGACGGGCTCAGCCCCGGCGACTCACTAGGGTGCCTGCCCAGACCAATGTCTCCCCCTAATTCCTATCATCCTTCCGGCTCTGCAATGGTCTTGTCGACCGAAAGGGCCTAACCCAACAAAACAAACAAACAAAAAATGCACAGCTTCGCAGAAAATGTGAGCCCAACATATCTTAAGCTTGCAAGCCATTAAGCTGCTCCATTCGCTAATTTCCGTATTAGGACTTGTCAACGACTCTGTTACGACTAGCGACTGAAAGGATTGCGGAGTCTGTCTTTACAACGGCTACTGAAAGCTGTCAATGGGCAATACTCAGCCCGAGGCCCGAGCATCTCACCTGAGACGAGTTCCATGTTCGTGACGCGCGCTGTGGCTGAGGTACCGTGCTGCCCTGCTGAGGTTTCCACCGCGAGTGACAGTACCTCTGTGGCGTCCCGGTCCCGTCACAGGGACCGCCGGGACCGGTGGGAACTGAACACCTGACGACCCAGCGCCCGGAGGTCTCCCGGCCCCGCCTGATCCGGTCCGGCCTGGCACGGTTTGGCCTGACATGGTCCGATCAAACCCTGTGTGAACTGAGGATGGGGAGCTGAAACATCCGACTGGCAACCATATTTTATTCGCGCGCGCGCGCCGCTCTCTCTCTCTCTCTCTCTCTCTCTCTCTCTCTCTCTCTCTCTCTCTCTCTCTCTCTCTCTCTCTCTCTCTCTCTCTCTCTCTCTCTCTCTCTCTCTCCCTCTCCCTCCCTCCGTCCTCTTCCCTCTCCCCTTTCCTCCATGCACTTTTTGACTGCTCACCTTGTCGTAATGTTTCACTGGCTGTAGTCTTTACAATATGGTCATCACACGGAGGTGGGCCATGACGTCAGGCTGTAGATTTTTGGCTCGGCGTGTGGTGACAGGGAAGCGAAGTAGTCAGAAACCTTATCAAACTGTGCGTGTCAGTTTCCCACAGACATATCCGGGCAGCACGCCGAGCAAATCTTACGGTTATCGTACGGCCCGTGAACGTTTCTATTTTATCAAAAGTAAGGTACAAAATTGTGTTGAGTGCTTTAGAACTGACAGTAGACACCCGTGACATTCCATTCAAGTCAGTCCATTGCTAGATATAAAGACGGAGCAAGAAGACAACAAAACCACATCATCAATGAAAACCCCACCAGCCATAAAATGAACACAAAGTAACATAGTATGGCGATCGCGTGTATTTGTTAATATTATGCACCCAATATGCACTGACAAAAAGTGTGTAAAAACGTGCAAGAATAGAGGATCGATACGACCCATTACTAACCCGTTAGAGTTCACACAACTGCACAGTGTTGGGCGGGCTGTGCTATTTCCGGGCCAATAAAGGCGATCTAAATGCTTAGAACTATGTTATCTTACAGATGACGATGACGTAACTGATGACGGTAGACAGAACCGGTATCGGACGGCGTGTTACTTTCCTATCGCTGCATCCGGGAGGCACATGACGCCATTTTGACAGTGTTATTCCTTTGCACATCAAGCAGCCATTGTTATATTTCTAGATCTATCAATGCGTTGACATTGAACCACAAACTTTCCACTCTCTGAAACGTCGTCTTCAGCGGCTGAACAGGGCGCAATCGACAGTCGCTGCGGTCCCACGGACTGCCAGTCCCTCCGTTCTCATATCGAACATCCAGGGAGCGTTGCCGGTGCTACCGTCCTGCCGGGGTGTTTCCCTTTTGTGCACGGTGGAACCGGCTCTAGCAGCACACCTGACCTGCACGGGAACGCCTCACGAGGCAGCACAGGGCTGGGCTCGGCAATAGATACTTACACTCCACACTATGCGAATAAAATATTTCGAAAAAGAAGTACTTAAGATCCATACATATGTGAATAGTACCTAAGAAGAAACTAGTGGTTCCATTAGCTACATGTTATCGGAAAATGTATCGCAATAAGTTAGATGGAATGCGATTTATCCAAGCGAATCGGCAGTTTCCAGCCTTCTGTTGGCTTACAAAGTTTCGGTTGCTTTTATACGAGCATATCTTACCCGCTTTGTTTTCACATCATTTCACATCATTAACTATGCTAATATAAATATGCAAGATATGTAGAGCTCCCACATCAAACGCCTAAAAGTTACCAATAAATACCAACTGAAAACACATCAGGAAACATCTTTCGACCCCACAGCTCCAAGGCAGATGACCATCAGTCACTCTCTAATTGGAAAATCACTCACATCACGTGACATTGGTGCGTGCGTCGGCCGTCTGCGCGTGGGAAGGGCCACCTGTACTGCGGCCGCGCCTCGGCTCCGAGGCCGGGTCACCAGGCGGGGCATGAGGGACGAAACGCAGTACCTACATACGCATGGCCGCGCACACGGATTATCCGTGGGGTGACTCGAAACGAAATGGTTGAACGTGATGTTACGAATAGAGCGTGACTGATATAAAACAAACGAGTCTCTTTCAAACGAGTCTCGAAGCTAACTTTTCTTATTTACGATCGAATGGAAGACAGCCAAAACAGTGTAAGTCTGTAGGTCTCAAAAGGTCGACTGACCGGACCGCCGCTGTCATGGCAACAACAGTCCGTTTGTTCCGTGTGCACACATGGACTGGTGAACAGGGCACCACCACTGGTGCGGTGCGCTCAGCTGAGTCCTGCGCGGGTGCCCATCTGGTAGAGCAGTCTGACCAGCCGACAGTGGTGAGAGTTGGTGCCGTCTGAACTCACCACACCACACACGGTCCGTATCCGACACTCGATGTCGCACGGACCCACCACCGAGGCCGCGCCGCTCAGGTCACTGCAGGGAACGAGGGGGCACGGATCAGGTCAAAGGGCGGGGTCAAAGGTCAGAGGTCAGGGTCATGAGTCACGTAAGTAAACAGGTCAAGATAGGTCAGGGCAAAGGTCAGGGTCAGGGTCATATAAATGATAACAACAACGCTGCCTTCTTTACTGGTTGGGTCATGATGCAAAGGTCGGAAGGAGTGTCACATAGACTAATGGCCAACATTTACAAGCATACTACGACACTGAAAAGGAATCTGGAATAGAGGCGATCACTCGACCTGTACCTGTAATATTTGTCGAATTTCCGTCCATAGACCAGCATCTTTTTCACCATGCGGCTCCACCGTCTGGGTGAGAGGTTCTTTAGGCGGTAGCGGGCGGCGGCCGACATCTGGAGGTGCCAGCGCGGTCCCTTCTCGGGACGCTCGTTAGCCTCAGCCAGGTCGGCCACCCAGCGCTCGTAGTCAATCACCTCCTGAGGCGCAGAGGGTGAGTTATTTGGAATATGGGTCTTGTCACAGGTGAGATCATACACAGAGGCTAGCTCATCTCTGCTACCAACATCACGAATTCCTTTCAGCAGGCTGCAGGCATCCATTCACCCCATTAGGATGAGACACGAATGGATTAAAAAGTACTGCACGCATATGATTTTATTCTTGAGTCCTCAATCGCTTTGGCTAGAAGTATTTTCCGACTTTGAGAGCAAAGCCTTACAATCTTAGCAGCGGCGTTCGCAGCGTCAACTCACCCATGAGGAGCGGTTTCCCCTAGCGCCATCTATCGTGTAGATCCGGTAGCCGGGGTTCACCTTCTGCCACGGGGTCAGAGAGGGCGCCACGTACGACACGGAGAACGGCCGGTCCCGGTCGTCCTTGTAGAGCTGAATCTCGTTCAGATGGGTGTGAGAGAAAAACTGGGCCGTCACCACGTCCTGGTAGCTGAAAATACGCACAAAAAGAGGTAACAAATAGATCATTATGGTATTTACATCCGGACCACCAACACCGAAGTTGTAGCAGCAGAGCAACAGCGGTTATACAAAACACATCTGGGACGTATTATATCCATGCCCTATATATTATGCACTCCTCGGACCGAGTCAGTACTTAGTAGTCGCTGACAATGCACACCGAACAGCCAGCCGCCAGAAGAGTCATCCTGGCACCCACCTGCGTATGACGGAGTGGTAGAGGTGACTCCAGCCGGGCAGGATGTCCGGGTCGGCCGGCGACACGTGCCCCACCACGTGGCACCGCTCGTCGGCGGCACGGGCCGCACGTAGTTCACCGGCCAGCCACTTGAGCTGGTGGTGCGGGTCCGAGGTGGCCGTCAACAGTACCCATCTGAAAGGGAGGGGAGGGTCAGTGTACCTGGGTGGGTGGGAAGGAGGGGTCTGTATCGGTCAGCAGTATACAACCGGACGAGGGAGGTCAGACGCGGCCAGCAGTATCTGAGGGAACGGGAGAGGTCAGAAACGGCCAGCCGGGAGAGGTCAGAAACCTTAACAGCGGAAAGTCCTGAAGAACAACTTGCGACAAGTCTGCCCCAAAAGTAACATAATAACGTAATGGGAAGCTATATTACGGGTAGGTCAAATAGCAGACATGCCAGAGATTGATCCTGAGCAAAATGGCAACGAGACAAGCTGGGTTTCAGTCTTACACTAACCATTTCACGCGCTAAAACCGGGATATAATAATAAGATGGAAATGGAGACTAGAGTTATATGTAACATGCCGGAGCCCACAAGCAGCTACTAAGGCGATCTTAGTAATCGGCACGCAACTAAAACCAAATACCCGTCGTACTCACAAGTTGAAGCGGTAGGCTACGTTTGTATTCAGCACGATGATTCTGAAGCCGGGACGAACTAAGACTGAGTAGAAACCTGTCTTGCGTAACGTGGCCACTGAGTGAAAGGTGAGAAAAGCTTGGTCACTTTTCCGTTCACTGATAAAAGTTAACGGTTCAAACACATGAGTCAATGAGCCGTAGACTCGTATGGGACGGTTTATGCAGATTTAACACTCAGTAACATCTTGCAGTACTATGTAGATCGGTTAATGACATTAACAATTTCATCGCAAAATGAAAGGTCCCTGTCGCACTATTTTGGCCAAGTACATGCCACGTAAATTATTGAAGAACGATGCAATACAAATTAGTATATGACGTAACAGTGAGAGGAGAGAGAATATAGATGGACAGGAAATGAAATATTAGGAATACTAGAAGAAGATTATCCATACACCGAAACACGAAACCTGTGACTTAGCAAATAATAACGGGAAGCCTTACGTGCATCAGCAGGAAGCCAGTGTTTCCACATCTTGGCATAGTCGTGGTACAGCCACGACACGCTGAAGTTGCCTTTACGAACCTCGGACGGAGGAAAACTGGAGAGAACAAAGGTCGACAGTTAGCTTAACTCTCAGACTCAACAGTAATTCAGCTTGATCAGCAATGATGGTCGACAATGTCCTGAATACATGACACTCTGGCTGGTGTAGCCAGTAGAAACACTGTAACATACAGATATCTCTTGTATTTCGCCACAAAATCGAGACATATATAGTTTTACATACGAACTTAGTTATCTAGTATTGCA